CACGAAAGCTTATGCTCTAATAAATTTGTTAGTCTTTAAGGTGCCACAAGTACTCCTGTTCTCCTTACACATGTATCTATAACATGTAGGAAAAAAATGTGTGATCATGAGGGACTTCAATTTGAGTGATGCATGCTGGAGATCTCATGCTGCCATATTATAACATCCTTGGAATTTCTAGACTTTATAGATGACAATTTCCTGACTCAAAAAGTGTTGCCGCCAACACACAGGAATTCTTTATTAGACCTTGTCCTAACAGATAAAGAGGAACTGATCACAGAACTAAGAATTAATGGCAGGTTAGGTACAAGTGGTCATGACTTGATCACATTTATAATGTGCAAGCAGAATAAAGTCCAGACCAGTAATATATCTACTTAGTGCTTTGAGAGGGCCAATTTCACAAAGCTGGAAACAATTATGAGCCAAATCAGCCAGAAGGAAGAATTTAATAAGAAAAATGTGAATCATAACTGGGAATCATTTAAGACCACTTACTAGATGAAAAAGGCTTTGCTGATTTAAAAAAAAACACAATCTGGTTTAGAGGAGAAGTGAAGGCACCTATAAAAATAACAAAATAATATATAGCAAAAGGAAGAAAGGGGAAATTGATAGTAATGAAATAAGGTGTTCATTTTTGACAGTAAGGCTAATTAACCATTGGAACAATTTAAGAAGGGTTGTGGTGGATTCTCCATTACTGCTAATTTTTAAATCAAGACTGTATGTTTTTCTAAAAGATATGCTCTAGGACAGACGTGGGCAAACTACGGTCCGCGGGACCATCCTGCCTGGCCCCTGAGCTCCAGGCCAGGGAGCCTAGTCCCCAACCCCTCCCCCGCTGTCCCCCCTCGCCGCAGCCACGCCACCATGCGGGCCGCGCTCTGGCCTGCCGCTCCAGCTGGGCAGCGTGGGGAGCACAGCTGGCTCTGGCCGGGTGTCGTGGCTGAGGGGGCGGGGAGTGGGGGGATTGGGTAAGGGAGCGGGGGATCCTTGGGGGGCAGTCAGGGAGGAGGGGGCAGGTTGCATGAGGCGGAGGTTCTGGGGGGGGCGGTCAGGGGGATTGGGG